CTCCCCAGCCACTAGGTCATCAGAAGGGATTGATATTGCAGAATATTCTGCTTTTCCAACCACAAGTTTAGGCTCACTGTCATATAGGGTGTAATCCATATCTTCTGACCTAGGCCCTTTTACCGCCTCTGGTCCAGACATCTGACTTGAAAGGGGGAGGGAGTTAAACAGCCTACCTGAACTGCTGAAGTGAGGCAATTTCTGTGGCCCAATCTGAGATGTGAAGGATGAAAGATCTCCCAAATATGGCCTGAAATGATTGCCTTGATGGACCACGTGTCCATTACCAAAGTTGTACCTATGTCCAAAGAGGACCCACCAAGTGCCCATCAAGACATGTATGGGTGGCACAATTCAAACAATACCAGAAAGCATCTGGACATGGATGGATGACCTCTTGGATTATGTTCTGGCTTATCAGTTTATCCTGGACTCCCAGCCAGAAATGCAGAACCTAACTTCTCTGGAGTGAGCATAGAAACTGACTCTAGACCCTCAGTCTCCTTTAACTCAACAGATTTTCATCTTGAGGCAGGCAGCCAAACTGGCCACTATAAATATAGGCTTCACCTTCTAAAAACAAGAACAATGCCGTGATTGAGTATGTCCTTGAAGGCCACAGCATCTTCTAATGTAAGGTCATGTATCTGGCCAATCCTATAAGGGACACACCAACAAAAGAGGTTATTCCAATCCCTGGAACCTTCCTGTTCAAAAGGGCACAATTTTGACATCCTGCAGTGAAAACATGCTCCAATCTTGTAGAACGAGCACTTGATTCAGTTATTATAAGGGAATTATCAAGCTGTCCTCTGGAGGCACTTGTAATACATCCACAACTTTGCTTCTATTTTAAAGGCATTTAAAAAATTTTTTAACAAAGGGGGGTTCAAAAGGCTGGACAAAGGTTGTCCTCATCTTCTTGTTCAAAAGAGACTGAAAAGGATTGATTGGCTCGAGAAGTTTGTGAGACAAGTTTTAACGGTCCTGAAAGGAAGACTGGGCATTGCCAGAATAGATGGCCCTTGCAGACTTTAAATTCAACAAATCTTGTAGATTGTCTTGAAAACATGCTCAATTAATTGTGACAACTTGGTCGCCATCATCTTAATCACTGTATGCTTGAACAAAGCAGGAATCATACTGCCATGTTCATTCACATCTTCCTTCGAAGAATCTGACAAGGGTTGACTAGCCTGAGAAGGTTTTTAGACTGCTCATTGTCAAAATATATGACCCCTTAACAGGGTGAGTGAAAGCTACTCCTTTAGAATATATTGATCATATGTTCAATGAATGTGACAACCTGTTAGGTGTCCACATCTTTATCCCTGGCTGCTTGAATCAGCAGGGCTCATACAGTCATGCTCATCTGTAACTTCTTTTTGGAAGAGTCTGAAGAGGATTGTTTGCCTGGAAGGCTAGGAGACTTCTTCTTGAGATAATAGATAACCCTTTGAAAAGGTTAGTGGAAATACTCCTTTAGAGTGTATTAGCCTCATGTGACAACCTGTTAGGTGTCATAATCTTTATCCTTGGTTCCTTGAACAAAGCAGTATTCTTGCAGTCATGTCCTTCCGCATTATCCTCTTTGGGAACTTTGAAGAGGGCTGTTTCACCTGGGAGGGCTAGGTGGCTTCTCATTATCAGAGCAGATAACCCTTTCCGAGGTTGAGTTGAAACCACTTCTTTAAGAGTGTATTTACAATGTGTTTATTGAATGTAACAATCTGTTAGGTGTCATCATCTCTATCCCTGGTTGCTTGAACTAAGCAAGTTTAATACAGTCACGTTCAGGGGCGGACTGACCATTTGGAAACTTGGGCACTGCCCGGGGTCAGTAGGGGGCCCCATGAGATGCCCCTGGTACCTTTTTCATAGGCTTTTTTGAGTTTGGGCAAGGACACAGGGGCCCATGATCCCCTATTGCCTGGGGGTCCCATGAGTTGTCAGTCCGCCCCTTGTCACGTTCATCCATATCATCCCCTTTGGAGAGTCTGAAGAGGCTATTTTACCTGGGAAATCTATAAGACTGCTTGCTGCCAGAACATATAACCCCTTCATAGGGTGAGTCGAAACACTCCTTTGCTTTATTGACCACTTGTCAAATGAATGTGACCAGAGCTGGTGCTAGACTATTTTGCACTCTAGGCAAGACCAGCTACTCGCACCCCCCCAAAAAAAACTGTACACACTGGCCTCCCTTTAACCCTACACCCCTCTTCCTGTATACACTGCCCTCCTTCCTGCATGCACTACCCCCCTATTCCCTCTGCAAACACTGCCCCTCTTTTTAATGCTACACCCCCTTCCTGCACACACTGCCCCCTTTAATGCTACACCCCCCTTCCTGCACACACTGTGCCCTTTAATGCTACACCCCCCTTCCTGCACACACTGTGCCCTTTAACTCTACACCCCCCCCCCTTCCTGCACACACTGCTCCCCTTCCTGCACACACTGTGCCCTTTAACCCTACACCCCCTTCCAGCATACACCGACTGCTCCCTTTCATGCACACACTGTGCCCTTTAACCCAACACCCCCTTCCAGCATACACCGACTCCTCCCTTTCCTGCACACACTGTGCCCTTTAACCCTACACCCCCTTCCAGCATACACCGACTCCTCCCTTTCCTGCACACACTGTGCCCTTTAACCTTACACCCCCTTCCTGCACACACTGCACCCTTCTTGCACACACTGTGTCCTTTAACCCTATACCCCTCTTCCTGCACACACTGTGCCCTTTAACCCCACACCCCTCTTCCTGCACACACTGCACCCTTTAACCCTACACCCCCCTTCCTGCACACACTGCGCCCTTCTTGCACACACTGTGTCCTTTAACCCTACACCCCCTTCCTGCACACACTGCTCCCTTTCCTGCACACACTGCTCCCTTTCCTGCACACACTGTGCCATTTAACCCTACACCCCCTTCCTGCACACACTGTGCCCTTTAACCCTACACCCCCTTCCTGCACACACTGTGCCCTTTAACCCTACACCCCCTTCCTGCACACACTGTGCCCTTTAACCCTACACCACGTTCCTACACACACTGTGCCCTTTTAACCCTACATCCCCCTTCCTACACACTGCCCTACTTCCTGCATGCACTGTACATTTTAATCCTACACCCCCTTTCCTGTGCACACTGTCCATCTTTAACCCTACACCCGCCCTTCCTGCATACACTGCCCCCTTTCTGCACATACTGCCCTACTTCCTGCACATACTGCCCTGTATAAACTATACCCCCCTGTGATGTGTATTGCCCCCTGATTGAACTGACCTGAGCTGCCTTGCCAAACATAATGAGCAGTTCATGGCTGGAGCACCTGGTCTGTTTGTCCCTGCTCAGTCCTGTTGCCTGGCTCAGTACTTCCATGGTTCCACCTGGCAGCTGAGTTTGTCCACCTGATCCCATAGCCTCCAGGTCTCATACTGCAGGTCAGTGATGGACTGGAAGAGCGTCCCCACCAGGCGCAGCATGGCCTCCAGCTGCCTCTCAACCTCGCGACTGAGCTCACCCATCTTGGCTTGCAGCCCCTGCTCGGTCCTCCATAGTGGACATTCCCATTCCTCCTTTGGTACACTCCTGCAGACCGGCCATACGACACCTCCACCCTGGGCTCCATGCTGTCGGGCGAAGACAGGCGGTGATTGGACTTTGGGCTGACTTCAGCTGCAGCGAATGGTAATCACCATCATCCAGTGAAAGACCTTCTCAGCTGCAGGGATCTCAACTCACTTCTGCTGTGTGCAGGTGCACCGGGGTGTGTGAGGGAGGAATGGTGGCTCTAGAGGTGACATCCACCCAGGATGAGGAGGTGACAGGAGAGGAATGTGGCACAGACCGTGGCTGTGCACCCTAGGTGGCTGCCTAGTTTGCCTAGCAGTAGCACCGGTCCTGAATGTGACACCCTGTTAGGAGTCATCACCCTCATCTCTGGTTGCTTGGACAAAGCATGTTTAATACAGACATAGTCATCCACATCTTCTTTTTTGAAGAGCCTGAAGAGGGCTGTTTTGCTCGGGAAACCTCTGAGACTGCTCTTAGCCTTTCTCATGGTTTTGCCTTAAGCTTTTACAAAGCAGCTAAAAAAAAAAAAAAAAATTCAATGCAGTAGAAAATAACATCCTAGGTAACAAACTCTAAAGGGTTAACTACTACTAGATGAAGGCTGATACAGCTTCCAACCACAACCCCAAGATCACCAGGTGGTTAATGAACCAAACCTTGCTTTGCAAGGGAGCAGGACATGATGAAAATGTTTTGCTCAGAAGTGCAACAAAAGGTAGGAATCTGTAACAGAATTGCAAAAATATTCTGTAATGAACACAAACCATCCAAGGGAATAGTTGACATCATAAAGACCTTTTTTGTGGCTGAGAAACTGGAGAGCACTAAAAATATACAAAGATGTCCTATACTTCAACAGGCAATAGCTGGCTACAGTAGTCATCCACAAGTGACTCTTCTACTTTCTCTGGGAATACCGATCCTTTGAAGGGTTTGTTGTAATGGCATAATTGTAAAGCAAACATGAGAACCCACCAATCGGCAAATGCCATGTGTGAACAGACAAAGTATTACCTTGTGCACCTGTTGTGCATCGTACTACCTCAAGGTATGCATAGCAGGTACAGGGAGGCACAACAATGCCTAGCAATGAAGCATTCATTTGAATACAAAACATTTTTTTAATTTAGCTTTTACGTATCTCCTGAAGCATGGCCAAAAAACTCCCAGAGATGGCACATCCCAGCCTGCCTTATTGCTAGGGCAATGCTAAGACACTCCAAGCCTATTAAAACTCTTTTGCATGTGATCCCTCTTCCCTGTCACAGGAACAAGCTCCTAAACCCCTGCACATGTATGAGATGGGGAAACAGCTCTCATTGTTTGAACACTGTTTTTGTGGAGTAAATTAATGTTTTGACTGACATTCTGCGGTTTAGCCACAAGATGTCACTGTTTTTCTAACACAACCTCAGACTGCATAGATATTTGTATATTCATGAAGAGGTGGGGTTTTGCACACAGAGTTGGAGAGAACAGGAAGGAGAGAGAGAAGCCATGTTTTGGAGCATGGTGAATAAGAAGCCATGTGAGCTGAGAATCTGATGACATCCAGGTGTGAAAGCGTCCCTCAGTAACCAGAGATTGCTGCCAGGAATGCTGATGAGATTGTTACCAGGAAGCTGATGAGATTGCTGCCAGGAATGCTGATGAGATTGCTGCCAGGAAGGCTGATGAGAGCAGAGGAACTAAGCAACATATACGGCAAGACCGTACGCTTGTTGGAGAGACATTTGTTCTGTTCAGTCACCAGCGGATGCAAAGCAGACCCAGGTCGGTAAGATCGTGCACGCACTTCATTTCAGTGTTGGCGCCTTGAGACTGAGTCCAGGCCTATAGTTAGTTAGTTAGGGTCTCTGTTTGTGTCAGGCCACAAGTGTTGTTACTGATTATTGGAAGGACTCCACAACTTAAAGTGACATTTCACATTGGAGAGCTGATAAAATCCTACAAACTCAAGCCAGACTGGCGTTTTGCTCAGAAGGAATACTCAGGCATGTGCTACAGGACCAGTTATGGGAGAGGGAATACTGTAGATTTGTGTAAGATTGTAAGCTGTTGTGCTGCACTGCAGGCTAGCCCATACCATACACCCATACACTGATTCCTGCTCTTTTAGGGTAATAACAGGTAAGGTGTGGCAGCTTAGTTGTGCCCGCCAGTAGGTAAACTACTTCACTTTCTACCTTCATCCATCCAAAGGTGCCGTTCTGTGCAGCACAAGGGTCTCAGCCTTTGGGCTGGGTGTATGTAAATTTATTGTATGTTTCCAGCATTTGTGGTTGTGTTTATTTGCCACATCTAAGTAAAATTCTGTTGTGGCAAAAGCTGGTGTTGGGGTTGCTTTCCTTGTTCGTGACTTCACTGTATCCTGGGGAGCCCACCCCGGTACACGGCTTACAACTGTGTGGTCCACTATCTCCTCCATCGCAGCAGCGCAGAGCTCTGAGCTTAACAATGCTACGATGGAGGGGATAGTGGACCACACATGTGTAGGGGTTGCTCCTGTGATGATAGGGTATGAACAGTAACAGCTGGGGGTGTCTTAATAACATCCTAGTAACAAGGCAGGAAAGGATGATCCCATTTCTGGGAGTTTTTCAACCAAGATTTCAGAAGTACGTAGATGGCCTATACCTATAGTAAGAGTATTAGTCAACTTTAATCAGAGCTGCACCGTTTGATTGCATCTACAGGTGCCACTTGCATAGTTTTTTTAGTGAAGTAAACTAACCCTTTAACCTCCCTGGCGGTATGATTATTCAGATTTTTGGTGCTGAAAGCGGTACCATTATTTTGCATGGAAATATGTAGTTTTTTTTTATTGTAGGCCTGTCATTTTTAGGAATAACTCACTGAAATCTGTCCGAACAAGAGTCTAGTAAACATCCCGGGTAGGATAAAACTTGAAACACACAAAATCATAAATTATAATTTAATAAATAATCATAAAAAATAATAGTAAATAATAATAAATGTAATTCAATAATATAATTAAACCAAAAACACTGAAATTTGAAATATAGCACCAAGTTCGCACATCACTGAGCAAAGTCGCAAAATCGTTTTCAGTGTCTGATGATGAATTTCCCCACAAATCGTTATCACTCAATACTGGTTCTGATTTACTATCGCTGTTCTCTAGCTGGTCTAAAACCGATTCTGACCTAAAGGGACGCTTTTTTGGACGCCATGGACTTTTCCCAGTTTCCAGGCAGAAAGAACAGTCAAAATGCAGGCAGGGCACAGGACAAAGCAGTAGGGACAAAAATGTGAAATGCTTTGAAACAGCAATGTTTTGCTATGTAATAATCGTTTTAAAAAAAAAAATGACATTTTTTAAATCTTGCAAATTTGCCGCCGGTTCCGGCGCCCATACGTCCCGACATCACAGGGACCGGAACATGGAAGCCGGATGCCGGCATCGGCCGGGGGAGATGGCCGGGGATGCTGCAGGGGGGACATCGCGGGAGCAAAGGACAAGGTAAGCGCTGCAGGGAATCCCTGAGCAACGCTGCATGGTAAGCCCGAGTGTAGCTCGGGGACCTCTTTTGGTACTGAAATTTTACCCCGAGCTACACTCAGGAATACCGCCAGGGAGGTTAAGCAGTAAGTAATTTCACTGCCAACTAACTGTGCCTGAATCCATTTTAATTTTAACAGAGTGGCCTCTGGGGCACCAAATTGAAATCTTTATTTGATCAAAATTCTTTGCGTTGTTTCATATTTCCTCCCTTAGTCACCAAAGATATATTTACCGAAAAGCATGACTGAAACCCCATCAGGGCTCTTAGCTCTAAAACTGAGATAATATCACCAGCCCTTCTTCCATCCTTTCAACCAGCAAAGCCTGGTTCATTCCTGCACAGAATCTGTAATGTCTTGCTAATTTATTTTCATTTAGGCTTCTGCGTTTAGTATGTCAAGTGCATGGATTCCAGTAAAATCGTACCATTGTAAAACGGAGGCTCTTCTTAACATTCCAGTCTTTAGTCATTCGCCTGCATCCCTATGTTTCTCAGAACTAGCCATTAAGCTCTTAACAGAAGCACTTCAATCTCCACTAATTAAATGACTGGCAAAAACTTTCTTGAAAAGCAATAACTGGAAACAATCTTACCCCATAAAAGCATGGAAATGACTATAATTTGCTGAAAATACCGAAATAGGCTTCTTGATAAAGATACAAACGGTTCTGTCTGTACAAGAATGCATTTTATGTCATCAGAAATGCTTTATGTTTTTCTACTTACATCAGATGTAAACCCTAACTGAATAACATTTAGTTTGCTAAATCATAAACAATTGTCTTTTTAAACTACTGTTTATATCTTTCTTCATCCTTTACTTTTTTCATCAGTTTCTGCACATCATTTCTCAAGATGGTTTTCCAGATATTGACAATAATAGACCATGCTGGATTCGCCACCAACAAAAGTCAAGTCAAGAAGGACACCTACCTTCTTCTCACGTAACTTGACTAGACTGGGGTCTCAATGAACCTTAAGAGGAGACAACTTCGTCATATTGGCTACTCACGTTATTTATTTATTACAGGTACAGTATATAGTGCCATCAGTTTATGCAGTGCTTTACATATATATACAGTATATTGTAAAATCAGTCCCTGCCCTCAAGGAGCTTACAATCTAAGGTCCCTAACTCCCATTCTTACATAGACATAGAGCCAATTAACCTATTAGCATGTGGGTGAGATTTGAACCAAGGAGCCTAGTGCTGCTAGGTGGAAGTGTTCCTCCCTCTACTAGTGTCTCTCCACTGGTTCCCAGTAAATGATTATCCACATGATCAGCTTTTACAATGCTTTACTGTAAGTACCAATATGGCATAGGGGTATAAGGTACTCTTTGGTCAGGTTATACATAGCCTTCTTATTCACATCATCAATTATCTGTATCACTGTCAATTCGTGTTTCTTCAGGAGACAGTTCTTTCCCGCAGCCTCCGCTGCTGTCATTCTCCTGCTCCCACCCTCCATCCAGTGTGGCTGTGCCCCCTATTCTTCATCCATTACTGTCCTGCCTCCCACTCTTCACTCTGTGCACCTGTGTAAAGTAGGATTTACTTAAAATCAAATTCCTGAGGCCATACTTTTTTTTAAATAAATATTAGCATTATTATTATTATTATTATTATACAGGATTTATATAGCGCCAACAGTTTGCTCAGCGATTTACAATATAAAGGGAGACAATACAACAACAATACAGTTCAATACAAGAGGGAAAGAAGGGCCCTGCTCCTTGGAGCTTACAATCTAGGAGGGAAGGGTTAGTGGTACAAGAGGTAGTAACTATGGGGGATGGACTGGTAGGAAGATTCCATTATTAGCTGAGGGCAGGATAGGCTTCCCTGAAGAGATAGGTTTTCAGAGATCGCCTAAAAGTGAGCAGAGTAGGCGATAGTCTGATAAATTGGGGTAGAGAGTTCCAGAGGATGGGGGAAGCTCTGGAGAAGTCCTGGATATGAGTATGGGAGGAGGGGGACAAGGGAGCTAGAGAGCAGGAGATCTTGTGAGGAGCGGAGAGTACGGTTTGGGTGATATTTGGAGACAAGATTGCTGATGTAATATGGGGCAGAGTTATAAATGACTTTATATGTTATTGTTAATGTTTTGAATTTTATCCGTTGGGCAACGGGAAGCCAGTGGAGGGATTGGCAGAGAGGGGTGGCTGATACAGAATGGTTAGTAAGGTGGATGAGTCTGGCAGCAGCATTCATGATAGACTGAAGAGGGGATAGCCTGCGATGAAGTAGGCCAATGAGGAGGGAGTTACAATAGTCAAGGCGAGATATAACAAGGGAGTTGCTTAGTGGTTTCCGAGGTTAAGAACGGTCGTATCTTGGAGATGTTGCGGAGGTGAACTCTACAAGATTTGGTCAGCGATTGGATTTGGGGCTGAAAGGACAGATGCGAGTCTAGGGTTACACCTAGCACCCTGGCATGAGGGGAGGGACTGATGACTGTGTTATTGATCTTGATGGAGAAGTCAGGGGAGGGGGCACGGGCTGGAGGGAATACTAAGAGTTCAGTTTTGGAAAGATTGAGTTTGAGGAAGTGGAGTGACATCCATGCCGATATGTCACTTAGTAGGTTAGTAATGCGAGAGGAGACTGAAGGGGTGAGGTGAGGGGTAGAAAGATAGATTTGTGTGTCATCAGCATAGAGATGGTACTTAAAGCCATGGGAGTTTATCAAGTGACCAAGGGAGGAGGTGTAGATGGAGAGAAGAGTAGGGGCCCAAGGACGGAACCTTGAGGGACCCCTACAGAAAGAGGGAGTGAAGAGGAGGAGCCAGAGTTAAAAGTAACGCTGAAGGAGCGCTGCGATAGGTAGGATGAGAACCAGGAGAGCAGAGTCTTGGAGGCCAAGAAAGTGGAGTTTTTTGAGGAGGAGGGGATGGTCAACCGTATCAAAAGCCACAGAGAGGTCGAGTAGTAAGAGTACGGAGTAGTGGCCATTGGTTTTAGCAGTTATTAGATCATTAGTGAGTTTTAATAGGGCAGTTTCAGTGCAGTGTAGTGAGCGAAAGCCAGACTGTAAAGGGTCAAGAAGGTTGTTGTCAGTGAGGTAGGAGCTCAGGCGATTGTAGACTAAGCGTTCTAGGAGTTCAGAGGTAAACGGGAGCAGGGAGATGGGTCTTAGGTTGTTCAGGTTGGTGGGGTCCAGGGAGGGTTTTTTAAGTATGGGAGTGATGTGTGCATGCTTTAGAGTGGAGGGGAAAGCACCGTTAGAGAGGGGGAGAT